TGGGGGAGACAGCAAGAGTTCAGGGTTCTGGGTGGGTAACATGAGTCTCTGAGACGCAGACAAACAGGGGGAAAGTCTGATCAGCATTTATTTTTTCAATGAAGTTAAAATGAATTCTCCCCAAATCATGCTAGTTTTCTGGAACAATTCTTAGTTTGCCCATCCAGCCCTAGAAGAGGACCGATCCAGACTAGGTCACCCAGGATGTATGCTTATAATCCCAAGTGAAGGGGAAAGCATCCATATAGGAGTGGTGAATTTTTCTCTGCTCATTCCAAGAATCTTTATTTCTCTGTGCATGAAGCCCTGTGTGTGTAAAAGAGGCTCTATTACATTCTTCTAACTCAGAACTGCTTTCCTGAGGAGAGATCACTCCCTCACATTTAACTGTTGTGAAAACATACACACACACAGACACACACACACATTATTAAACCTAAAGTCAAAGATTTATTTTTTTATGCTCTTTCTCCCTGCAAGTGATGTTAAATAAGGCTGTAAAGCATTTATAAGGGAACAAAGAAAGTTGTTCAGAAAACTGGAGTTTCCTTTGCTAACTCCATTTGGCAATAACACGGAGCAGAATCAAAGCATCCCAGCCAAAATAAATCCGCATGATGGAGCTATCAGATATGAGGTAACAGTGTGACATGCTTGTGGGTATCAGACATTCTTGTAAAAACCACAGACCTAAAATTTGGTCCTGCACCATTAAGCCACAGCTCTGCCAAGCAACAACACAGAACACACGTTTTAAATCACCGTTGCAAGCCAAATGTAATTCCCACCAAAAACAATTAAATCTTTTACCAGAGGTCTGAGTCTGGGCAGCTTGCACCCTGAGAATCTGAATCTCATTTCAGTGTGAAAATGAGATGGTTATTGTTCAGATCAGGAGGAAATGTCAGCTGCAAAATCCAGGGCAGCCAATGCCTGTAACTTGAAGTGATATTTGTTGAGGTTCGATTGGAAAAGGGCTAGCTAAGAAACCTGTAACTCCTTTCTGATAGTGCAGAGATCCTTTTACAATGCTCATTTTAAATGATTAGAAAAATAATTCATGCTCACTCTAGGGAAGTAAGAAAGTATGTAAGGGTACAAAAAATAAGATATAATTTCAATCTCAGATCACCCAGATATAAACTTTATAACATCTTACAGCATTTCCTTTTGGCCTTTTACACACACACACACACACACACACCCGCATCAGAGGGTGTGTGTCCAATTTGGATCATTGTATGTTTTTAGTGTTTTACTTTGAATTTTAACTTAACACTTTAGTACTTACCGTCCCCTTATATATTCTTCAAGGACAGGATATTTAATGGTTATACAATATTCCATTTGTCTGGCTATACCCCAATTGATTGAATATGTGTTCACCCTATAGGTTGTTTCCCGTTTACTGGTAGTATAAATAGTATTTTAGATAAAGTGTTGTTCAGCTAAAATTACCTTAGGATGGAATTTTAGAAGTGGAATTATGGGGTCCACGGGAAGGAACTTTTTGAGGCTCTTGATATGGACTGCCAGCTGTTTTCCAGAGAAGTTATTTACTTCCACCTGTTGTATCTGTGATTGCCTGTCTCACCCATTATTAGCCAGCAGCAAGCACTATCTTCGATTCGGGATAGGTGTAGATAGGGGAGAATGTAACACACTCTGTGGTTTGTTATTTATAAGTGTCAGATTATTTATTAAACAACACCAGTATGTGTCTAGCATAGTTCTTGGCACCGAGGGTATAATATTAAATAAAAGAACCCTAAATTCCTGTCCTCAATGAGCTTATAATCTACTAGTGAGAAAAAATAAGATAAATGAGTAAATCATGTGGGATGTTAGACGATAAGTGTTATGAAGAAAAATGAAGCAAGAAAGGGAGATGGGTAGTGTGGGTAGGGACAAGAAAGGGGAAGCATCGCACAGATACTTTTGGGATTTGGGACATTTTCCACCTCTGAAGACATTTTCTGGTTGCTTGTAAGAGGTTCATTAAAAAGCAAGCTAGAAAGTATTGAGCTCAAAATCCAAATTAAATATTTAAGAAGGTCTGGAATCTTTGATCATAAAAGGAATTAAGCATAGATTTTTATTATTTTTAAGACATCTCGATTTTTTATTTATTATTTTTATTCTATCTTAATTAATCTGTTAAACAAATTAGTTATACATCAGCAACAGACTGAATTTGACTTTTGTATCTCTTCTTTGTTGCTCCTTGTCTATTATTTATTACAGGAGAGTAGGGGGAAGAAGGGTTGTCGGGTGGCAGGTGAGAGATAATAAGGGGAGGGAAGTATACAAAGAAAAGGAAACTAAGTAAGTCATTAGAAACCCAGTTCAAAGCGAAGGTCTGTTCCTGGTCCATGGGAGTGCTGCCAGTCAGGGCACTTTGGTGAATTTGGCCTGAGCTTCCTACCCAGGCCCCTCTGGGAGTAACTCAGGGCTTGATGAAGTCTTCTAGAGTTGGATATAAATCCATCTCATTTCTGGATTTTGATTTCCACCAGAGAAATAAAAATAACCTTCGTTCTGTGTTTTGGCAAAACCAAAAACTAACAAAATTTTTTAAGCCTCCCTTGGTTCTTTGCAATTTTATCACTTTTCAAAGACTCTCTTAAAAAATCAATCAATCAATACAGCCAAAATTTCTAGCCTCCTATCTTAATTTTGGCATGACTCAGGAGGACTTTAAAGCAAAGCTAAGCAAAGAGATGGAAGGAAAGGTAGATTTCTTCGTCCTGAGGTTTTCAAACTTTAGTCTTCTTACTAATTCTTTTATTAAAGATTTAGCTTTATAGCATATTTGAAAATTTTAAAAGACACACTTTTTTCTGAGAAGAAATAAAAAGTATAGGTATTCTCTAGTATATTTATGCATTTTAAAAACACATAAACATGGCCATGGTGCTGTTGGGACTAAATAGTAGCACCATTTTTTTTTTTTTTGCATGCTCTGAATCGAGAACAAACTGCCTTAATCCTTAGGCAGAGTTCTTTCTTCTCCGACTTTAATTTTTTCAAATAATATCTCTTAACTGATTGTTTCAGATCACAGACTTATTTCATTTAAATTTCATTCTAGGAAAGGCTAAGAGATCTGTTAAAGATAATCATGTTAGCCTCTATTACATAAAGCTACTTCTACCAGAGGAAGGAAGTTTGTCCACAGTCTCTTCAGCATTAGATTTGTGTTAAACCATAGTAGGCAAAGCATAGTAGGAAAGTGATACTTAAGTTGAGTGAGAAAGACATTGAACAAACAAAATTGTCCCATTCCACATTCTAGTTAGGAGACTCGGGACTAGCAAAGTGAACTCTTATTTTTAGTCCAATAATATTTTCATCTCATCAATGCTTGTTATTTTTAGATAGAGATAGGGGCAGTGTTTTTCATATAATTATTGGTTGATATGGAGGCAGTATTTTAAAGTAACAAAGAATTGAACATAAACCAAAGAGTCCTGGGTGCTTAATATCTTTAAGGTTGAAATTACTCTCAATCCTGTTAGAACAATGAAAGAGATAATGCATAACAAGTATCTAGAAGAGGGCTTCATTCATCATATGTGGTGAATAAACAGCATTAATTATTATGATCAAGGCAAAATAGACTTCCAGTTATATATCATTGCTCAGAATGGGGAATTGATAGGTACCATCTAAAGATAGAGATATAAGGGTACCAGTAGAAAAACATCAAATCAATACAATTCTTTTCAATTAGTTTCTGAACATACCTTATACCAAAAAACCCAAACATATTTATAGCAAGATATATTTACTTTTAAAATATATTTTTGTATTGATTTCAAAGAGGAAGGGAGAGGGAGAGGGAGATAGAAACATCAATGAGAGAAAATTATTGATTGGCTGCTTCCTGCATGCCCTACACAGGGGATCAGATCGAGCCCACAATCTGATCAGGAAATCCAACCAAGACCTCCTGGTTCATAGGTCGATGCTTAACCACTGAGCCACTCGGTCAGGCATATAGCAAGATACATTTTTATTTTTTATTTTTTTAATATATTTTATTGATTTTTTACAGAGAGGAAGGGAGAGAGATAGATAGTCAGAAACATCAATGAGAGAGAAACATCGATCAGCTGCCTCCTGCACGTCCCCCACCGGGGATGTGCCCGCAACCCAGGTACATGCCCTTGACCGGAATCGAACCTGGGACCTTTCAGTCTGCAGGCCGACGCTCTATCCACTGAGCCAAACCAGTTTCGGCGCAAGATACATTTTTAAATGCTTATCTTGTCAACATGTATACACGTGCTAAACGTTTCCTATTAAGAGGAAAACAACTTCCAGATTAGATCATAAAGCAAAACTCAACTGTATGGTGCACATAAGATCACATCTAAAACAGGGTAACTCAGAAAGTTTAATTATAAAATGATGTGTACAGGTATAACAGGTAAATACATAAAATATATACATCAAATGTCTCAATTTTTAACCAAATAAGAATTTGGATAAAACAATCACTTATAAAAAGACAAAGAAAGATACTTTATAGTGGTAACATAAAAAAGAGAGCATACAAATTTGACTGTACTATAATCACAATCATATAAATCCTATGTGCACATAAAGGTAGAGGGAAATGATGGATCAGAGGGATAAGATTATTATCTTTTTATTTGTTCCACTTTCATTAATGCTGCTATAATTAACAATAATAATAACACGATTAAGTTCTTAAATCGAGTACTGATTATCTATTTAGAAATGTAGAATAAAATTCCTCAGCTATTTCTCATTGCCAAAGGAAAAATACATAATTGTTGAAGAGCGACATTGAGATACATACATATATTATCCATTCAAGTATAAAAGTCTTTTTCTTTACCACCAAAATTATTTTAGCTAGATGGTTAACTCGAAACTGTTTAGTCCATTCTAATTTGATTGTGATCCAATGCCACTATCATGCTTGTAATATGCTACTATCAAAGAGTCATTTTTTCTCTCCACTTTTGCAGCAATATGAGAACTGGAGGCCCAACCAGCCAGACAGCTTCTTTTCTTCTGGAGAAGATTGTGTTGTCATCATTTGGCATGAGAACGGCGAGTGGAATGATGTTCCCTGCAATTACCATCTCACCTATACTTGCAAGAAAGGGACAGGTAATCATTGCCCCATTAATAATGTCTACTTAACCCACCTATTCATTATCAGGTAAACTCAGTAAGACTAAGCTTCATTCGTTAGACACGAACTGCGTATGTCATGTGCATCATCTCCTGTTGCTCTGCAATATTTCATTCTTTCCATGCAATTGAAAAGTTTGTTTTCTGTAATGTTGACACCATAGATTTCAGGTGCTTAAGATAACAATGTAGTATTTATGCAGAAAAATTACCTTCAAGTATCTTTAAACACACACACACACACACACACACACACACACACACACACACACACACAACGGCCGGCACAAGGGTTGAAGACCTGTTTATTTTGATGAAGAAAGCATTAAAAAATTGCTTGTCAACATTTCAAAATTGTTAAATCATAAAATATTATAGATTTTTTTTTTTGCTTGAAAAAAAAGAGCAACTGGTACCCATTTGACCCTTTCAAATTTGTCCATGGTTTGAAGCACTGGAGCTGAAAACCTCTGCTCTCCTCAGTGGGGCCGTGGTCTTCAGTTCATTGCATCTTTATTCAGTCCTCCCTGTTTTTAAAGGCCTGGTCTCTGTAGACTTTGAGTTTTTTAATCATTTCCTTAGAAGCTTATTGTATGCTTATAAACCGTGAAGTGGTTGAATGTCCTCAAGATGCAATCAAGTAAAAACAGTTGTGATATAAGTCCCATAATGAGGAGAATTGCTTAGTTGACATTAAACAGATAAAGTTAAGAATGCTGATTTTTTAAAAATGTGTTGTGTTTATCACTGACCAGTATGTTTGAATTTCTAAGGCAAGCTGCATAGACTTCTTCCTTAAACAAATAGTAATTCCATGAACATTTTTAACCTGTTTGCAATGGTGTTAAAGCGTGAATATTTAGTCTCTAGAGCTAGAACTCAAGTAAGAGTTCAAAGTGCACATGCAAAATGTAAAATCCATTTGATTTTTTAAAATATAAAAGTAATAAGAATACAAATTCAAACTCTGTAAATATTTCAGGAAAACTTCAAAAATGAGAAATGCTATTAGAACAAAGAGAACATTAAGATACACAAAGCTCAGATAAAACTCAATTGTTATTTGTGATTACTTTGCTCTTCTCTGATCTAAAGTAGAATTTATTGTGAATATCCTTCCGACATGAGCCGCTTGCCTGACTTTGTGCATTGCCTCAGCACGTCTGCAATGGGACTTGTGAAAATAGCAAACCAAGTGTCTGTTTTCCCTGCTTGTAATGTAAGAAGCCTTTAATGAACTGTTTGTCTTTATCCAAATGTCATGTTTGCATTCTCAGATCTCCAAATGGTCCTTGGAGTCGTGCTTTTCATTTTATGATGCTAACATTCTTATATGCTATGTTAATTTTTCCTGTAGCAAGGTTTCTCAGCACCAGCACTACTGACCTTTTGGGTCCAATAATTCTTAGTTGTGAGGGGCTGTCCTGGGCATTGCCGAATGTTTGGCATCTTCTCTGCCTTCTATGCACAGAAGGCTAGTAGCGTTCTCCCCACTACACGCCCCTCTCCTCTGCTTTGTGACAACTAAAAATGCCTCTAGGAGTTGCAGCTGTTCCTGCGGAGGGAGAGGAAGAAAACTACTCCAGGTTGAAAACCACTGTCCTATAACCAAAAAGGATTCCCAAAACCAGCATCGCAATTTACATTTCCCAATGGGGAAAGAGATTCATAACATTTTGGCTCTACCTCATTAAAGGAGAAAACAAACAAAACAAAATGATCTTTGTATTTTATCTCCCTATTGTCTGGTTTTTATTTACGTGGATTTAATTCTTTGTTAATTAGTTCTCTGGGGAATTATGTGAATTTTATAAGTGTCTATAGACTTTTATACAAGCATACTCATTTCTCCTTTCTGATAATTTAGGCATCTTAAAACATACACACCAAAATAGTTCTACTTTTAATTAAATACCCATAAAGGAGGACTATAATATATACAAAAGGCATATGTATATTTAAAAGAACACCTCAGTGAATACTATCCACTGGAGATCCTGTAGGTTCTTTCCAGTCCCATTTATTTACTTCCCAATTCCAACCACCGATGATGACTTAGTTCCATATTTTTCTTTTTAGTATTACCCCATATGTTTGTATGTGTAAACAACACATTATTTAGTTTTGCCAATTTTTAAAATTTATATAAGTGAAATCATACTGTATGTATTTTGTGCCTTGCTTTTTTTTTTTGGTTCAGTATTATGTTTGTGAGATTTATCCATGTTGATGCATGTAGCTGTATTTCTTCATTTTTGCTGCTGTATGGTATTTCATTGTATGACTGTATAACATCGTATTTATCATTTCTCCTGCCAGTGGACATTTGGGCTATAGTAAGTATTTTTGCTGTTGTAAGCAATGTTTCTGTGGACATTTTTGAACTTGTTCCAGATAGACTTTTGTGAGCTCTCATAGGGTATTTTTCCAGGAGTGAAGTGCTGAGTCATAGGATATATGTACCATAAAATTTACTAGAAAACAGCCAAATTATTTTCCAAAGTGGTTGTACCAGTTTGCACTCCCACCAGCAGTGTGTGAAGGTCCTGTTACTCCACATCTTCGCCAACATTTGGTATTTTTGGACTTTGAAATTTTTGCCAGTCTGGTGGGTATAAAATGTTATTTCTTGTTATTTAATTTTCCTTTTCTTGGATACTTTTCCCTTAATATTGTTTCATACACTTATAGGTTATTTTCATGGATTTTTTTCTGTAAAGTTTCTGTTCATGTCTTTTACTTATTTTTTAAAAACGTTTGCTTCTCTTTTATATATTGATTTGTAGGAGTTCTTTTTATATTCTGATTACGAATACCTTGATAATTAGATATTTTGAAAATATCTTCTCCCAGTTTGTAGCTTGTCTTTACTCTTACCCTATGCCATTTTTTGATGAACAGAATTCTTTTCCTTTATGGTTTAAACCATTTTTCATCTCAAGAAACCTTTACTACCCTAAAATCACAAAGATATTCTATGTCGTTTACTAAGTGTTTTATAGGTTTGTGTTTTATATTTATATATTTAAGCCATCTAGAATTGATTTTCCTTGTATTCTCCGAGGTAAGAACCCAAGTAAACTTTTTCCGTAAAAATACCCAATTGTCCAAATGCAAAAGCTTCTTTTCCTCACTGCTTTGCCATGTCGCTTCTGTCAAATATCATGCATACATGTGTGGATCTACTTCTGGTCTATCTGCTGTCGTTGCCAGTACCATATTCACTGAACTATTTTAGCTTTCATATAGGTATTCATATATAACTAGTTTTTGAAGAAATCTCAACATTACTTTCCCCACAATTATAAAGATAATTTCTAATTTGTCAACATAGCACAGAATTAAGTATAATGAACTATCTAGTTCATAATTTTTAACCTTCTGTGTCAGTTTGGTCTCATTCTATCTGATACTTGCTAGTATCTAGACCTTGGTATAGGCTTTTCATAGTATAACAAGAGAAGTGCAGGTATCCAGATTGAGTTATCACTGAACCACATACAGTATGTAGTTTATTAATTGAAAATGATATGTTATTATAGAAATCTCTGCTTTAGGAATTTGTGAAGATAAAATACATGTACAAATATTTCTAATTTCTTTATATAGTGTGATTTTATAATCTATTTTTAGGTTATGTCTATCTGAGTGACAAGTCCTATGTGAGTGAAAAGAGATGCTTGGCTCATGTTTCATTAAAGATAACTTTTTTTGCTAATTACAAATGTTAATTTTTAAAGCATATCATTTAGAACAAGTACACCACGTTGAATAAAACTTTAAGTTCAAATTCAGTTGAATCAATTTGCCCATCCTCTTGAATTTCTGAATTGCAAGATTTCTTTTACTTTTTTTTTTACTATTGCTAAGTTTGTTGATATTTAGAATTTTTATTTTAAGTTAAAAATTATAAATTTTCCAAAATTTACCTTCATTACCCTTCTCAAGAGTTTAAATTTTAAGATAATTACAAAATCAAGCATGAATATTAAGTCCCGATTTTCCCTTTGTCGCATAGAGAAGTCAAAAAAGAGTAAATAGAAGCAGAGATATTTTATTGATACTTAAGAATATCAATTTGGCCATGTTTTACCCATGTTTTGAATCTATGATATTGTTTTAAATTTTAAGTGTTTTCAGGAAAGTGACAGTAATAGTTAATTGTCACAAATTTATTATTGTTCCAAGTGAAAATGGGGAATAAATAAAAACTTGGAGTTAGTGATTAAGATAATACCACCTGGCCACATGAAACTGGTACTTTTTAATTTGGAATTTTTCCAGAAAAAAATGGCCATTAGCCAAATGGTTCTTTAATAAAATACCATCCAAGATGACATAATCTGGGATTCAAATTGGGGCCAGAGCCTCATTATTTACATTTTTTTTCTTGAATATTTTCAATTTGTGAATTCTAAGTGATTGCTTTTTATGATGGTGCTAGATTGGTTTCATAAGTAGCGAAAGAGATAAAAAGAGGCTCATACTGATAGAAATATTTAGATTCTTTGGAAATAACTTGATTTACTTTTCTTTAGTTGCTTGCGGCCAGCCCCCTGTTGTAGAAAATGCCAAGACCTTTGGAAGGATGAAACCTCGTTATGAAATCAACTCCCTGATTAGATATCACTGCAAAGATGGTTTCATTCAACGCCACCTTCCAACTATTCGTTGCCTAGGGAATGGAAATTGGGCTATTCCTAAAGTTACCTGCATGAACCGTAAGTGGTACTTTAGAAGGAATGGACAACCGTGCTATAACAGCTACTAGACACCATTTTACAGCTGCGGTACTGGTAGTTTAGGGTATGGAGCAAGTAATATTGTTGTGTTTTCTTTCTTTCTTTCTTTCTTTCTTTTCCTTCCATGTAGCATCTGCATACCAAAGGACTTATTCTAAGAAATACTTAAAAAATTCCTCCTCATCAAAGGACAATTCAATAAATACATCAAAACATGATCACCGTTGGAGCCGAAGGTGGCAGGAGTCCAGGCGCTGATCCCTATAATGGCGAACATGTGTTTTCATCATTTCAGCCAAAGTCCTAACTTCCTGTGCCTTTCCTATCACCTCGAGAAGTATTACCCGTTGGTCTGGATTTATGGACCACTGTCCAGTCAGTTGGGGGTTGCTGCGCTCCCCAAACATCTTAAAAGAAAGCATTGGCATTCAAAAAGAGAGCGAACGAGATGAAAGAGAAGAAGGGCAGGGAGAAACCATTTCCAGCCTATCTGATGTCTTCAGTTTTCTGTTTGCCTCCAGTGCAGACCATTTTATAATGTAGACCAGCCTACTGTACTATTTAAAAAGCTCCATTTCAGCACCAATGGCAATGTAAATAAGATGATTTAATGTTGATTTTAATCCTGTATATAAAATAAGAAGTCACACTGAGTTCTGGCATATTTAATGATGATTAGGGAGCCTCCTCGGTCTTTAATCATTGGTTTGGCTGCTTTGGGTAGTTTGTTTAGGCTGGAAATGGTTTCACGTGCCCTTTGACTGTCAGCAAGACCGAGGACGGCTTTTCCTGGACAACTAACAAACACAGAGTCTTGTAGGCCACACTGCACCATCTCAGCCTTAGCTGCAGTTGGCTTCACGTGCTGCTGAGGCCTGGCTAACGGGACCTGATGGGATGAAGGACTGCAATGTGGAACTCTTCTTTGCTGCATCCCTTTTTCTTCACTTACAAGAAAGGCCTGAATGGAGGACTTTTCTCTGACCAGGAGCATTTTTAGGGGTCGAAGTGCTAATTATTAACTCAACCAGGTCTACTTTTTAATGGCTTTCGTAACACTAACTTGCAAGCTTCCAGATCAACACATTTCAAATGGATATAGACCCAGGGCTCTGGAGGGTGGGGGATTGTTAAAACAACACACGTTCAAAGAAAGAAATTTTGTATATATAACCATTTTAATCTTTTATAAAGTTTTGAATGTTCATGTATGAATGCTGCAGCTGTGAAGCATACATAAATAAATGAAGTAAGCCATACTGATTTAATTTATTGGATGTTATTTTCCCCCAAACCTGAAAGTTGACATAGTGTGCTAGTTATTTTTCAGTGTTAGCCTTTGTACTTCTCTCACACAGTTTGGAACCATATAATCTTAGGTACTTTGTCCCTGATTCAATAATGTGATGGATAGAATGCATCAAGTGTTTATTATGAAAAGAGTGGAAAAGTGTATAGCTTTCAGCAAATGGTGTTTGCCGGTTCTAAGCAAGGAGCAAGACTTTGAACTATTATCCACTTAATTTAATGCTTAAATAAACATCTGTCATGAAAAGAAGGCATTTAGAAGTCTTTCTCTAATTTCAGTAAGAAAAATCTTGAGAAAAGTAGACAACTTAGGAAATGCAAATAGCAAAAGAACAGCCCCGACATTGATTCTTTTCACGAAACCTTCTTTTGTTGAGAAGGTACCACAGTGGCTACAATCATTCACAGTGTCTTTGAGCAAGTTCCCTGGTTGTTGCATTAACTGTAGTCCACCACCAAGTGTTCCAGAGCCCAGAGCAACCATGTGTGGCCCTATTAGGTTTTACTTTCCCCTCTTTTATTGCAATGCACATAATACTTCCTGTATTTATATTATACCATGTATAGTGTAAAATGTGAATGATTGTGTGTGTTTTTTTGTGAATGAAAATCTAAAAACTTTGTAACTTTTTATACCTGCTTTTGTTTCACCAAAGAAACCTAAAGTCCTTCTTTTACTATTCTGTGACTGGTCTGGTTATTTACAACTTTAAATCCTGATGTGCACCAACATTTTTACATTCTGGTTCCATCACGAGTACAAGCTGCTAACATGAAATGATTTGGTGGCTAACAGAGAGATGATTGATTGTATATGTCACTGCAAAAATTGACATGATTCCAATACTGTTTACATCTCCACACCTATGCATTAATCTCAAGTATTAAAGACATGTGCAGAAGGAGAAGTGATAGTTCAGCTTTACCAAATGCTTTCCACGAACCAGGGTGAGTGTTTCATGTGCATGGTCTCCCAATAAGCCTGTGGGAGGTGTGCCATTACTCTGATGGATGAGGGATCAATCAATAGACAGCCCAAGTCATTGTCCAAAGTTACATAATTACTTTGAAGTGGATGCAGGTAATCTTTAGAGCCTGCATGACATTCTCAAGAAAAATATAAAAGATATTGTTTCCAATTATTATACATTTAGGAGGTAAATTGACTGGTTAGAAGATCATATCTAAATAATGATCAGAAGATATCAAGTTCCTATCCACCATTCCTTCATTTTTCATTCATTTACTACTTATTATGTACTTACTGTGTGCCAGGTACTGTACTAGGCCCTGGAGATGTAGGTCTATGCCTACATAAATTTTTATACTGGATACAACCCATGGGATTTATTTT